TCTTTTGTAGAGCATATTTATTATATATTTTATCCATTTTATAATGCAATTCTTTGCCTTATGTCTATATAAATGTGTAATATATTAAAAATTATATATTCCCTCTAACGTGTTATTGGATTCGAGTCAAGCTGAATACCTCATGATCAAACTCGTTCTTGTATAATAAATGAGTCATCTCAACTTTACTTAATAAACTAACAAAAATGTGAACTCGAGCTTGTTTCATTTAATAAAAAAATTCAGTTAAATATTGTTCAATCTTAGCTCGTTTACATATATAAACAAGATGAGGTCAACCTTTCATTGGTCAAGATGAGGCGTATGATCAATATGACAAACATAACATTTTCTCCTTCTTTACTGTCTGACGAACCATCCCCTTGTAAAATGTGTTCCTATCGAATCATCTTCTCTGGTTTTGTTAGATTTTACATATTGACTATTGTATTTCCTCTATATTCAGACATGCTATTGAATTAATCGTGTTCTAGGATCCAAAGAAAAGTCCGGTCGAACGGCAAGATCTGAATGAAAGCACGTTGGAACTAAGTTTAGGCTTCAAAGACGAGGCAAAAGATGATCAGGCTAAGGAGGACCAGCTTGAATGAGTGAAGCATAATGGTCATTGAACGTTACACTAAACCGGTAGTAAGTCTAAGAGTATAGAAGTGCTAAGTTATGGAAATTTAGCCTTTGCAGGAGTTCCTGGCTTATTTTCAAGGTACCTGAGCAACTATAGCTGTATCATTAGCTTATTTCTTGATTCCCTTTCTGAGGTTCTGAGGTCATATAATTTGTTGGATCCATCTCCTTGGGAATCTACTTAGAAATTTTTATTTATTTTTTCTTAAATATATATCGAAACTTCCTCTCGCAGTTCAGAGTTTCTTCTGTGTTTTTTCTCACTGTTTGAGCTTTTGGAAACCCAAATCTAGAACAATGCAACCCAATTGTACGAGGCTATGAGAACTTTATCACGCTGAGGTGAATATTTTCGCATAAGGGCATGCTTGGTACAGTGTCCTATATAATCTTATGTATATTTTACAAGAAATCGATAAGGAACCGATAATATATCCTTTTATTCAAAATGGAAATATTATCTTCATTTTTAATGTCAATAATAGGACAAATTGCAAATTCATAAGTAAAATGCAAACACATTGATTAAACAAGATACTCTTATTCAAAATGAAAATAAATTCAAACAAAGCATTGCTTTCAATATACAAACTATCAATCTCCCACTTATCCAAATTCAAATGGAAATTAATTTATAAAATATCTGTATCGAAAATCGAACCGAGGCAAGGAACTAATTCCAAAACATTTATAAAGGTATATGTGTATAACATGATATCTTATGCACTTTTTTGAACATAAATATTTTAAATCTTATGCTTTCATTTGTGCCTAATTATTTTAGCACTTGCATAAATTCAACATTGTATGCCAGTAATATAGCTATGAAAATCCCATATTTAATAATTTCGTTATTCTTATTCAAACATTTATGTGTATAATAATTTATCTTATGCTTTCCTTTGCATATAACTATTTTACTATATGTATAAAATTTAGCAATATAACAACAACATAGTTGGGGGTGGAAGGGAGGGAAGGTGACATAAAATAATTTTTACTTGTTTGGAGGGATTTTGTAGAAGAGGAGTGGAGGAAAAATTGTAAGCCTTGTTTGGTTAAAAAAATAGAGAAGAAAGAAAATATTGTAATAATGACAATTGACAATTATATCCTTGATGATGGAAGAAACAAAAAAATAAAATAATTCACATAAGAAAGATAAAAGAGTAATTTTATATATTAAAATTTTACTTAAATATTCTCCCACCAAGGTACAAACCAAACAAAGGAAAAACCAAAAAAAAAAAAAAAAAANNAAAAAAAAAAAAGATAAATAAAAAATTCCCCTCCCCTCCTCTTTCCTCCCCTCCATTTCTTCCCAACCAAACAACCCCTTAATGTTTCATGGAAATCTCATATTTAGTAATATTGTTATTTTTTTTTTTTCTAAATTTATATGCTTATAATATGTCATCGTTTATTTTCTTTTGTACATAATTATTATTTTTTTCATAAATTCAATAATGCATGCCCATAATATAGTAGAGTTTCATAAAAATCTCATATTTAACATACTACTCTTATTCAAAAAATTATATGTGTATAGTATCTTATCTTATGCTTTCTTATGTAAATAATCATTTTAGCATTTGCATAAATCCTACAATGTATACCAATAATATTATTATAGTTTCATGGAGGTCCCGTCTTTAATAATATTATTCTCTTTATTAAAAAATCTATGTGCACATAATATTTTATATTATACTTATTTTGTACATAATTATTTTAGCACTAGTACAACGCCTGTGTATTACACGGATGTTTGCTAAAAAAATTTCATAAAATATAAAATTAATGAGTAAAAGCAGTTGAAAAATTAGATACTTTTTATAAAAAAATATATATTATTATATATTTTAGTATGACATTTATTACTTGTGTGACTTACATGTGTTTTATTATAATATTCTTTTCTAACTTATAACATATAACTACATTAAACATAAATATATTAGATGAGAAATATTTAATTTTTCTAATTATTTTTACTAAATATTTTTATTATTATTATAAAGATAAATATAATTTATTAATTTTATATATACAATATGGATATGAAAACAAAACTCATCAAAAAGATGATTAATTTGATATATTTTAATGTAAAACCGATAAGAAATACAAAAGTTATCAACTCTTAAAATACATTTACAATTCAATAGTTATATAGCAAATGATATTAAAATACAATTATGACATCTAAAATGATCATAAATAAATCAATATATTTATGGTAATATGAACCTAATTATTTTTTTACTGAAATTAAATTAAAATCTATCCAAGCCAAATAATAAAGCATGAAATTTTGACACCTAAGATCCCGAGGAATGCGAGCATGTCACTTAGGCTCACCACATTCGAGAATTATATACATGGGGATTTGCATAAATTTAACAATATTATGAGATAAAACATATAACCGTTTGGAAAGAGTTTAACTTTACAAGAAAAAAATCAGCGAAATTTACCCGTTTAAACTAATCTCCAAACCGAACCGAATAGAAAATTGGGAAGATTTGGGACAAATATTTCTTTACATCGATTTGATTCCAGAAATCCAATTTTAGAAATCTCCGAATTTCAAGACAGTTCTAAAGATTTTTGAATCTCAGAACCGTCCCAACCCATACTCATCATTCAACCCTACTATTAATGTGTGATAAATCATATTCGTGTAACCCATATTTAAGATATAAATATAACCTTAATATGATTTATTTATCCGTGTAAATTTAAACATTGTAATCAAAATTAGTGAAATTGAAATTTAGGATACAAAAATTGAAGAACATCTATATATATATATATTAAAAGCCATCATATTTACTAAATTTAGTAACAAGAAAAGTCAAAGAATAATTAATGCATTCTATTTTTATCATTTTTTCAATTGCATTATTATTTTATAGCTAAAAAATCGGTTTGCATCAATTCCACCCTTAATTAAAGTGTTTTGCAATAAAATCGGACAAATAGACTTCAAGTAAAACATGTCTCATTTCAAACTTAAATTTAAATATTAAAATTTCTTATCATTTTGTTACATTAAAATCTTGAATGATTGTTTATCATAAAATCGGACAAAATAATAATTGCATAGAATTCAAGTAAAAACATGTCTCATTTAAAATTTAAATTTTAAAATTTCTTATCATTTTGTTACAATTCTTGATGATTTGTTTCCCATAACATCGGACGAAATTAATAATTGCATAGAATTTAAGTATGATTTCTAATTTATGTCAAGGATTTTAATAAATGCATAGAATTTCAAAGATATTTATTTATTATATAAAAAAAAAAATTCTAAAAAAACCTTTTTATATATTCTGTAAAATGTTTGTACAAAATGTTTTGCTTTAAATTTATTTACATAATTTAAATTAATTACATTAATAATTTTAATTACATAAAACAAAAAGAAGAAGAAGACTACATCTATAACATGTATACATAATAATAATGACATTATATTACAATAAGTTTTACAATAAAACAATATGAGTATTATACGAGGAACAAGATTACGTAAATTGTTATTTTTCTTATATCAAGGAATATATATATATATATATATATATATATATATAATGAAATCTAATTTATATTATTATAACCATGTTAACTAGACAATATATTAATTAATTTACGAACTAGCGCTACCAGGCTCAGGTTTAATGTCCTAAAAAAAATGAGTTGATGAAAAGAGGTAAAAAAAACTCTATCATTTTTTAGGCCTGAACGGACAAGCCCGATGGTCTACTCATTTAATATCTCCCGTGAATCGCACGAACTACTTAAAGGACAAACTTTATAAAAATAACTCATTTAATACTACTGTCTCGTGCATCGTACGGACTACGTACTAGTTTTCATATCAAAATCAATACGTATATTTTTCCTCGTTGAATTAAATTAGATTAAATAATAATATAACATTAATTAAAATTGACAAATGCTGAAAGCCTGAAACAGTAAAGGCAGGTAACAATTATTCATAATTCTGGTGTCCGTGAGAGATTACTTGATAGTATAAGGGCTAAACCATAATATCTGGGAAGCTAACAAACAACAGCCGGAGCCACGCAGGTCAAATAAACGCCGCTCAACGGCCGCCGCCGCCTCCATGGATCCTCAAAGCCAGACCACTTCACTACAAAGACTTCAGAATGTCGAGAAGGTAAATTTGATAACATCTCTCTTCAAAATCATTTGTGACGTATGAGTATGAATTTTCTGTTCCCGCGTTCACAGAGAATAGTGAGGGTTTTGGAGCTAGCCGGCGGCGTAATGGAGGAAATGGCCAATCCAAGCGGCCCCAGAAAGGAGATCGTTAACAGCAACTGCACTGAGTTCATGCAATTAGTCAAGGTCTTTTCCATGTTCCCTTTTCTACTCTTGCTCTCCAAGCCATTTTATCAGATTATAGTTGATTAAGGGAAAAAGTTTCAGGAGCTTAGAAGCTCAATGACGAAAATCAGCTTTGTTTTTGTCTCATCTGCGTATTATCGTTTTCGAATATTTGTTTGATTAGGATATTCAGATGACGCTGAGAGAGGAAATTAAAAGCGCTTGCGAGTACCGTCCGTTCGAGAAGTGTGACTATGTTCCGAGGATATCGAGCGAGATTTGTTGTAAGAAGTTGGAGTATGTCATCTCCCAGCTTGATGAGATGAAGCAAACAATTGAGGAGTATGGTGATGGAGCTTGAGGTTTTGCTTTGGGAAAACTGTAAGTAATCTAGTCCACTGATAATTTAGGAGCAATTAGAAGGGAAATCGTTTTGTGGACTAGCCGTCATTGAAAATATGGGGGCAATGTGATTACATATGATTGACACTCGAATTGCAAATGTAAGTGTAATAGATACTGTTTTCTAAGTTGATTGAGATGAGAACTGTTTAATGCAGAAGAAACTTAAGAGTAAGTTCTAACCCAAATGGTTGTCGCATTTTCCTCCACGGTTCAAAATTTCAATCGAGTAGGCGGTGTTTCTATTAATTTGCTTTGCACTTACATTTTCATCATGCTAAGCCTAACTTGGTTGACTGCTGGATTATCTTCTTGTTGAAGTATTTCTTTACTCAAAAAATCGAAGATTGGGTGAAACTGTTGGATTCGGAGCATGAGCTTATATTTAAAGGTGTTGAATGGGTGCATTTCTAATTTACAGCATGTCTTCTTTTGTTGGATGGCTGCTTGTGGTTTCTGTTCATTCAATGGGTTTGCAATGTGCAAAACTGGTCGATACCTTGTAGAGACTCTTAAGGCTCATTTGATAATGTTTTTATTCCCATCTCCGGCCTGGCATATCTGGCTACCTGCCGTTTTATGAACATAAAAAATAGATTTGGCTGAAAATGTTTGATGGAAAATTGTAGTTATAAATTCAACTTGCTTATACTAAGGATGTAACAGATTAGAGGTTGTATTTGTTTTGGTAGTTTTTTATTAGACCATTTTCGTAATATGTGCATACAGCACTGTAGAAATTGTTTAAAATGGGTTATTTTGAAAATATAATTTTACTATAACAGTTTTCTAGATTGAGTTGTAAGCGGCTGAAGGTACTACCTAACTGATGTTATTAGACTAATAAAATATTAATATTAGATGTAAACAATAGAGATAGGATTCCCCTTAAGCATTCAATTTAGATGAAGTAATTTATTAGGTTGACAGTAAGCACATTGGGTTTATTAGCTGTTGTAACAAGGTATTATATAATACAATCAGATGTGGCTGGTAATTGTGGATCTCACTAGGGACATGAATGCTTCAGTTGGGTGGGATGAGAACCTTCTTTAATGGATAGAATTAGGGAGTTCAAATCAAATCAGGCGCGTGAGTTTGTAAGGCAAATTGTTGAAGAAAAAAAAAAAAAAAACCGAAGACCTAGCAAGTGGCTAGTATAAAGGTTAAAACTTGAGCAAAATTGATTGAAAAATTAGGATTATTAACGTTGAGAAGTATTTTGCTGGGTGAATAAAATGAGAAGTTAAATATTGGTGGCATTGAATTTCCTTAAATATATACTGCTTGCCATTTATGAATTCAACTTATTCTGTTTCTCTTTCATCTCTGCATGCTAAAATGTACTCCAGTCTCCAGTTGGGTGTCCAAAATTTCTCTCCACTGCACTTTCTTATGTTTTCATATTTAATGTTCCTGGTCTTGGTTTGGTGTGTGATGATGCATTGTTTTCTGGAATAACTTTTAGGAAAAAAAAAAAGAAGAAATTAGACAACCACCGAAATTAAATTGCTGAGAAACTTCAGTTATTACACAAAACAACTTGATACAAGTTTATTTGCTGCAATAACAACGCATGAGGGTTTTTCATTTCCTAATCTCTCACGACCATTGATCTTGATTTTGCCCGAACAAATCCTCTCTTGCATGCTCATCCAGTGCTAATAATAATAAGTCAGACATTTTTATTTTTGTTGTACCGGCCCATCTTCCCGCTGCTTGTGCTGTAATTTCTCGACTCTGAAGTTGGTCGGACTTCTGGCCTCGGCTGGAATGAGTCTGTTGGATCCCCTTTTCGCATGGCATCATAGGTGATACTTCGTGCTGCGGTTGCTTGAAGCAAGAGAAAACATATCAGCAGGACTCGGACAATACCTATGATATTCAGGTTAGCCATTTTTTATTTTTGTATTTATCTCTGATTGTTCTAAGATACTTCTGAGTACTCTTACGGCATAGGGTGGTAAGATATATAGCCAGTTACTGTGGGACCATTGCTGGTGACAAATTTAATGTGGAAATGAACATCCTGAATAGGTGAATAGCCGAATAGGTGACAGTTAGTATGCTGATGGTGGATTGCTTCAATTTCTCATAAATATTGATTTTTTTGTCTCGAGACAGATGTTCGATTGATATGCAGGATTGGGATTGACTCTGTTCCAGCTCGATGTTTTTATTTTGTTATTATTATTGAGAGGGAAACACAGCAACCATGGTGACTCTTGCTGATTTGGGCATTTGGCCTTCATCTGAGTATAATTGACAACTTGAAATTTGTGTAGCTAGCTAAGCATTTATTTAGGAAATTTTATGCTTTTATAACATGTGTTTAAAGCACATGAAATGCTATAACATCGATTGGCTTAATTTCCTAAAAAAAAAAAACAATAACCTTATCCAAATTTGTAAAGTCGACAAAACTTCTTGAATTTGGCAAATAAATATACAATTTTATTAATTGTGGAAATTTGGAGCGTCGAGCCAAGAATTGTACTGGACTTTAGAGGGCTCACAAATGGTGTAGTTCACTCGTGCGATCAACTTTTCATAGTAATTGACTGTTGAGAACGCGCGTTTTCGAATCCCATGGGTCTAACGACTAGTAGTATGGCCACCCATATGACCCGTGTGGTAGTTGGACATTCTATAAGTTTCAACATGAGTGGTGTGGATACGAAACCCATATCACAAGATCAATATGGGTGCTGGCGCACATTTTACATTTTTTCTTATTTTTGGTAAGGACTCTGAAGTTCAGCCTCAGGTTTGGTCATAATATAGGCAGCGTAAGTGTTATTTTTGACATGGATTTTAACTTTTTGATGAGGATTTGAGTAAAAGACGAGACTAGAACACGACTTTGCGGGAGTTTTGGAGTACTTGGTTACTCATTTACTAGTAGAATACTCGTGTACTACACGGGTACTTGTTAAGAAAATTATATTTAAAATTAAATAATAATAACAACAAAAGTTGTTTTAATTTTTAAATATTTTTTAAAAATATATTATTATTAGTATTTAAAATGATATGGTCACTTACACGAATTATCATCTTATATTATATATATATTTTTTTTTAATTTTAAATCAAATAACTACTTTGTATTTAAGTTATTTAAAATATTTTTTTCGAATTAATATTAATAAGTAATTTAATTTTAATAATAAATATAAATAAAATTAATTATATACTTTGTATGTATAATATAGATGTCAAATCGAAACTTCAATGCCGTTGGAAAAAAAAAAATCGAAACTCATCAAGATATGATTAATTTGATATATTATATATAAAAATTTGTTAATAATTAAAAAGTATTAGGTTTTAAATATGTTTATAATTTAGTTAGTAAATCTGTTATATTTTTAAAAGAAATATTGGAAAAAATTATACCTTATAAATCAAGTCTACAATAGGATATAATATTAAAACAATATTAATGCTCTTAAAAGTAAGGTTGCATCGCCCTCGAAGCTAGTGTGGACGTTAGGAAGAGACTCAAATGGCATCGTGGTTGAACACACCACATAAAAGTTTGGAGCGCGAACCAGCTTTCTTGGCCTCGTCGAGGCCCATTGTATAATAGTCAATGGTAAGGGCCGAGCTTTTCTCAAGAAAGGTAGTAGACTTGAGAAAGTCCTCGATCACCTGCTTACGCTAATCTTCCAGAATTCGTTGGCCAATGCTCGTAGTGAAGAGCAGCTGTCGAGCCCATCCCTCAGTGGCAATGCTAGCACTCTGCACATCCTCTTTCCGCCAAGCAACCTCCCACTCGAGCTCGGTGTCCTTGGCCTTGAGCTCGTCCTTTTGATGGAGCCCATCATTCTTGCTGCTGAGCCAGCTCATTCCTCACCAGGGTTAGCTGCTAATTCTCCTAGAACAGCCACTAAACTCTCTTCTCTAGCTCGAATATAGGACGACCAGAGCCATCTAGGGGAGCATCGAGCAAAGGAACGACGGAGACAAGAGTCTGAATGTAGAACAAAAACAAAGTGTTAGAAACATGCGGAAGTGTTGAGTTTGAAGATTTTGAGGTTTAAGTGAGGCCGAAGTCAAAATCTTACCTGAGCCGCAGCCCGTGCGACATAATCGCACTGAGCCTTAAGGTCAGGCCCCCAACGGGAGACGTCCGATGCTGGCAGAGCCTGCATAAGGTATGAAGTCACCTCCTTGCCCGTATCCGCAGCGAGCTGGGAGGGGTGACCTCATTTTATTTCACCTTGGTGTGAGGCCTCTTACCGCTCTCATCAACCTGGGGGTACTATGGCGCTTCTAGCCAATGGTCAAGTCGGCGCCCTTTTCGCTGGATGGATCGGCCTACTTGTCGACCTGTTGGCTGGCCAACTTGATTGGAAGATGAACATGTTTTCGTTGCTTGGTTAGGGCGGTCTTATCGACCTCTGAGGACTTGCTCTTTTGAGGGGCCGTTTGACTGGTCGGAGCTGCCCCCTTGGTTGGGGCAACTCCCTTGCTGGCTGAGGAACTCTTCGAAGTCATAAAGCGGCTGAGGAACTCTTCGAAGTCATAAAGCGCTCTGCATAACGTGCAAAAGAATATGGTTAGTTTCAATAAAAACAACAACAACAACAACAACAACCTGATTTTAATTCGAGCTGACCAGGCTCGTTTGCATCTCAAATTTGGAGTGCTCGAAGTTTTTGTTTAGAGGA